TATATACTGACTCAATTCTACCAGCAAAGCATAGCACTATCAGATGCCACCTGGTGGCACAGAGGGACCCTACACTGGAATTATAAGTTTTTCCCCCTAATAAATTCCTCTTTAAAAAATTCATTATAACAGTATTTCCCAAAGGGTGTTCCTTAGAAAACTGATGCCACAAAGTTCCCTTGGCAACTAAGTTTAGAAATTCGTAAGGGTGTTAGAAGGGAGTGAAAATGTTGTCTTTAGTTAATAGTTTAGTGTATTTCTTTTTTTCCATCACCATTTATCCCCCCTACACCCTCCTCTTTCACCTCCACCCACTCCCCTTCCCCCCAAAAACACACTATTGTCTGTGTCCATGAGTTCTTCCTCTTTTGCCTTTTTTTGCTCAATCCTCATCCCCCCAACACCCCCCCACACACAAAGCTGTCTGCCTGCTCTCTATGAGTCTGTCTCTATTTTGCTTGTTAGTTCAGTTATAGTGTATTTTCAAGGTGACACTTAAGTATCATGTGAATTTCAATTCAATTAGTTAGGATTTTAGTGTCAGGGGACACTGAGAAGCCAGTGAAAAAAGTAAGAAGAATGAACCAGGCAGGGGCACCAAAGAGTTCTGTTGTAAATGATTCCTACATATTGATCTATGGAACCTGAAAGGCCAGGCATGAGGTAAGTGGTGGTGGTGGTGCGAGGGGACCCAAAATGACTTAACGTACCACTACTAAAATCATTCTCATTTGAGCAATTTCAAGATAAAATGCCCTTTATTAGCCATTCATTCAACCTCTCAGTTACAACATTGATCAAGCTGTAGGAGTAAGAAGGCAAAACTTTGGCTTCAAGGCACTCAATAAATATTATCTGAACAAATTCTTTTCATTCAACCTACCCTAGAGATGCAGGCAGTTCTATAGTGAGGACGCCATGAAGTACAGAGAAGCAGATATGGAGTGCTACAGGAAAAGGGAGGAGGAACACCTGTGCCCACTGGTTGGTCAAGTTACATAATACCTGGTGTAGATGCTTTTAAGAAAACAGACACAATACTTACTTAACGTGCTTTCAGCCAGGTGGCTTTCTAATTAAGCTATTTTAAGACTATTACTTTATTCATAATCCGACGTATTTCACTCAGATGTGACTTCGTAAAACAAGCATTTAACTCCACCCTCTCCACCCTCTCTAATTTGAGAGACAATCTCAAACACAGAAAAGTCAAATATTTTGTTTGAGTTTCCAGATTCTGTCCAGGGCAGACAAAGGGTAAGGATCAGGCACTGCCAGTTCTCGAGCTAGTGCTGTACTCCCAACAGCACTGCACCCCTATTGTAGGTTGAATGAAAAGAAGAGTACTTCAATTTATTGCAAATTTTCTTTTTTAAAAGAAGTCACTAACCACAGAAGAATATAACATTTTACCAGAAAACATTTTTACAGCAAATAATGAAATAAGATGGAAAAAAAAATCAAGTAAGCAACCAGGGAGAGGGAGAAGGAGGGAAGAGAGGGAGGGTTTTTTGAGAAACATCAATGAGAGAGAAACATCAACATTGATTGGCTTCCTCCTGCAAGCCCCCTGCTGGGGATTGAGCCTGCAACCCTGGGCTTGTGCCCTGACCAGGAATCCAACCAGTGACCTCTTGGTGTATGTGTCAATGCTCAACCACTGAGTCACACTGACCCAGCAAAAAAAAATATTTTTTAATCAAGAAAGAAAAAAATCCACAATTCGGCCAGTGTGGCTCCGCAGTGGAGTAAGGACCTATTAACCAGGAGGTCACGATTCAATTCCCGGTTAGGGCACATGCCTGGTTGCAGGCTCGATCCCCAGTGTGGTGAGTGCAGGAGGCAGCCAATCAATGATTCTTTCTCATCATTGTTGTTTCTATTTCTCCCTTTCCCCTCCTCTCTGAAATCAATAAAAATATATTATAAAAAAAGAAAAGAAACCACAGCCTTGGCCGGTGTGGCTCAATCCTGAGCACTGAGAGATGACAGGTTGGATTCATGATTAGGGCACATGCCCAGGTTGAGGGCTCAGTCCCCAGTCAGGGTGCATATGGGAGGCAACCTATTGATGTCTCTCTCTCTCTCTCTCTCTCAAATTAATAAAGAAAACGTATTTTAAAAAGAAAAAGAACCACAGATTTAATTACACAAAAATATAGAACTGCTATATAAAAAATGATAATAAACCAGGTAGGAAAACAATAAACAGAAATATAACAAAGGATTACTGCCCACACCACCTAACAGGCAGGCCTACATAAACTGACAAATCAACACCAAGACTGAGATCAACAGGTAAAGGACATGGGTAACTGAGATGAAATAGTTAAAACAACAAAAAGAGAAAGCAGTTAACATTAAGCGCTGAGGTGGTAAGTAAAAATCTCCCTAATTTCCTTATTATAATGTGCAAAAACATCAAACATTAGATAAATAGTATTAAAGGAATGGCAATGGTAAAGTCCCATGGAAACAGATCTTACAACATTCTTGAGGGCAGGAATGAGCTACCCGCCCTCTTAGCATCCCCCCAGCACCTAGGCATGATGCTTCATATATGGTACATGCTCAAAATATTTGTAGACCAATGCTCAGCCAGTCTCAAGGATCAAATGCCACAGGCTATTTCTAAGATAATTTTTAAAAAATTACTAAGGCAATGGAAAGACGTGCGTTTTGGAAATGCTTGTGGCTTGTTGAATGAAAACATCTGCTTTCTACAACAGTCTAAACACTTCTTCAGTTAAGCTCTATAGCCAAATGTTAAGTGTGTCAAATGTTCCTCAGGCCTTATTTTGTATACAATTTAAACACAACACTAACCCAGAATTTACACTTTAAGCTGTACCATTAAAAAAGAAGTGTGCATATGTTTCACTTATTGAACATCTGCTATTAATAAATAAGTTAAAACTATTTGACTTCAGGGTAAGAGAAAGAAAAGAGGGGAAAAAGCCTAGATGCCCAAAGCATGATTTACTTTAGGTAGTCCTTCATAGCACATATTATGGAAAGTCATTCTAAATTTGTCTTTTTCTTCTAAAAATGGTTCACTAAGCTAAGTGGCAGATTATCCACAAAAAATTAGGTGAAAAATGATTAATTAGAATGAATCTCACTTCTTGCAAAGTTCATATGCAACAGGATTTTACAAGACTGAACTAGAATCACAAGATAGGAAAGAAATGTAATAAAGCTAAGCCAGACTAGATTTATTCTAAGAAATTTCATGTAATCATTTGTCAAAATTAGTGAATTTTGCCCAAAGAGCTTCATTTTGTACCTTCAAGTAGTTTTTACCCATTTAACGCCTTCCTTTGCTTAAAAACAGAAAAGAAAAAAATGGGGATGAAAGGCTACTGAAAGGTTTTTGCAAAAAGCAGCAATATTTTGGAACCTCTGAATGAAAAGTAATACAAGATGAATCATTATAGCACATTATATAAACTAACTAGGTAACTAAATATCTTTCCACAATCTTGAAATATCCTTTGACTAAGAACTTGAATGCTACCATCACTTTAGTGAATGTCTCTAGGTTTCCCTTTCACATGTAATCTTCAGTTGAGATCTTCTTCAAAGGGCTTTACTTTTCAAAGATTTTTGAAAATCTGCTCCTTAAGCTTAAACTGGTAGCATTTCATTTTCAAAATTCAAACTAAGTCTTCTTAATCATCTGAAGCTGTGTAGCTCAAAGTCTTTAAAATGGACAGAAGACATACTATGTGTCAGCTTGATCTCCTCTCCCAATGTCCCCTGATCAAAAACATGAATACAGTAGATTCTCTATGCATAAAACTTTAAGATAATGTATATATTAAAATGGCCAGTCATATAATTGTTTGATGTATTAATAGTATACTATTATAACCAAAAAATAATAATAAAGCAATCTAATACCCAGTAATAGAAGGATAGTTACATATTTTTGGTTGAGCTACTGGGGAAAAGATGGTATGGCCGTTAATCTGATCACTCACTTGGCAAATAGTGATTGAGCCCCTGCTATGTACCCGACACTGGATAAAGAATGCTAAACTGAAGACACATGGTCCTACCCTCAAAGTCTCACAGTCTGGGGAAGAAGACAGGCATTAAACAAATCATCTCATAAATACATACATAAATACTAACCATGTTAAGTACTATGAAAGAAAACAACAGGGTACCCAACTGAGATTAGAGATTGCAGAAATGATATTTGAGGGGATTCTTAGGTATGAATAGGGGTTTGACAAATGGGGAGTTGAGCCCTAGAGACCGGGGAGGCAGGGGGCACAGTATAGGCAGAAAGACTTAATACATGCAAAGGCCAAAGTGTGAGGGAAAAGGGACTAGAATGAATACTAGTTAAGTAACCATTGGTCTAGCCCAGGGAAGAGCAAGGGGCTTGGACCATTGTACTAACAAAGGAGATGGAGACGAGAGAGCGGATGAAAATGTATTCCACAGAGAATGGACACGGTGCTATAACTGATATAAAGAAAGAACATGGAACAACATGAAAAAAGGGGCATGATACAATGTTTAATTTAAAATGTAGGACCTCATATAATATATGATTTAGCTAAAGTGAAAAAAATACATTTGAGAATTGTGAAACTGGCAGTAGGCTTATAGTGTAATGTAACATGACTTTTATACTTGCAAACACTTCTTAAAGGAAATGTATTCCTTAATTATGGTACATCAACTGACAATATAACCATTACAAAGTTGGACCAGAACTTATAACTATGAACACAAAAAAGAAATTATGATATAATAAAATTTAAAGTGCAAAACCTATAATTGCAGACAGTATGATCAAGTTACATTTTAAAAAGCTAAACATTTAAGAGACTACAGAACATAAAACAATACAATTATTTAATAAAATACAGAGAAAAGGAATCAAGAAAATGAAAGTAATCATAAAGGTAACACATGCAAAAGAAGCTATCAATATACATACATTTTTGTTAAAGTTCTAACATCTTACTATAAATGATTTTTACCTTTCTTTAATGAATGTAATGCTGATGTGAAGAAGGTCAAATAACCAGGTGGCTGGGGTGAACCACTGAAGTCAAAGTACCCAAGTACTCCAGGCTGCAGGAACAAGAGCAGAATTAGGTGACTGAGCTATCACTAATCATTGTGCAATGGGGACATTTTAAAACAAGAAAGACATGCCATTATAATTTGACAATTGTCATTTGCTGCATTTCATTTTTTTAAAAAGCCTAACCACATGAAAAAAGTTGGGGTTTAGGGTGGACCTTTCCTTCCATTTAGGCAACAGGGTTAAGGGATACAATTGCAGCAGCTTTTATAGGGGGAATTAATTCAGAGCTGAAACTTCCTTCCCTCTTCTTAAGTAGGTCTTTCCACTCTCTGTTGACAGTTCTCCTAGGTCCCTGGTTCAAAACCTCACCATCAAGTACAAGTACTCACTTACTTCTGTTTGGCAACTCCAGACAAGCTGTCAATTTCCTCGTAATCTTTCTTAGATTTATTTCTCCCTCAAATGGCTTTCTTGCATCCCAACACCCCTTCACACTTACTGGAAATCAGGTTAAATCTGATTTGCTCCACTTGTGTTCCAGGTAGTTCTTCGAGGGGCTCTTTTCTCCCCCACACCCAGAACCCAGCATTCTACCATAAAAACCCTCCTCTCTTGTCAGATCAGTCTGCAAAGTGCCCATCTCCTACTCTCTTGCTCCTCTTCCCCCACAATCTTATTTCCACCTGTTCATTCAACTTCTCTAAGCTTAGGACAGAATTCCCCTCCATTCTGCTAAACCAATAAATTATCTCTTCCATATACATCCTGCCTTCCTGTTCAGAATAATTCCTTCCATCGCTAAAGGCCCTGTGGCACTCATTCTCTCTGGTTTTGTTCTGAAATGATTGTATCTGTCTTACAAGCCAAACTGAGATCCCTGAGGAAAGAGTGCTGAGCTTGGAGTCAGAACACTTAAGCTCAAGTCCAAAAGCTAAATGATCTTGGGTGAACCCTTCAGAGAGAAACCTCAGTTTCCTTATATAGCAAATGGGTCAATTCATCATAGGGTTACTGAGAAGAATGAGCTTGATGAACTATACAGCACTAGGCAAATGTAAAGAATTCTCTCTAGCTCTAAAGCATGCAACATCATGCTCTTAATAAATAATTGTGGAGCTGATTTGATCATTGGGGCAAAATCAGACCCAAAAGATAAGGCAGGAATTTCATCTGTTGGTAAAATTTTAAATCAGTAATTTGTATAAAAAAAGAAAATTTCTGATCTGTAGTGGAACATACTGTCTTTCAAATCCAAATCACGTGCTTACTCTCATAAAATTTTATTTATTTATTTATAAAGCTAGAGGCCCAGTACATGAAAATTCATGCACTGGAGGGGGGGTCCCTCAGCCTGGCCTGCCCCCTCTCACAGTCTGGGAGCCCTCAGGGGTGGGAGGTGACCTGGTGATCAGGGGAAGGCGACGCCCATCACACCTCTGCTGCTGCCACTGCCGGCAGTGCAAGCCTCGGCCGGCCCTGGTCACCTGAGCCTCAGCCGGCCCTGGGCGGCTGGGCAGCCACCATCCGAGGCTTGCCTGCACCTTGGGCCGGCCCTGGGTGGCTGGGGGACTGAGAGGACTGGGGGACTCCAGAGGCAGGCTAGTGGAGCGGCCACACGCCTGCTACCACGGCGGGGCTGAAGGGACTGGGCGCCATCATCTTGTGGCTGTGGGTGCCGCCATCTTTGAGGGCGTGACAGTCAATTAGCATATTCCCTCCTTATTGGCTGTGGGCACCACCATCTTTGAGGCAGGGCGGTCAATTAGCATATTCCCTTTTTATTGGCTGTGAGCACCACCATTTGCGACAGCATGACCGTCAATTAGCATATTCCCTTTTTATTATATAGGATATATTTTTATTGATTTCAGAGAGGAAAGGAAAGGGAGAGTGAGATAAAAACATCAATGATGAGCGAGAATCATTGATCTGCTGCCTCCTGCATGCTCCACACTGGGGATTGAGCCCGCAATCTGGGCATGTGTCCTTATCTAGAATCGAACTGTGACCTCCTGGTTCAACTACTGAACCATGCTGGCCGGGCAAGATTCAATTTTTTAAAAATCACTTGGTTTTTATTCTGACAGAAACTGAGATAGTCAGAATGTTGAATCCTAATACTATCTAAGAAAATCCAGCAAATAACCAATTTCTAAAAAAACTGAGAACATCAGAAAACAAAGTATTGAAAACAGAACTTTTCTTTTGCTAAACTCTTTCAAAATCTTTTTTTTTTTTAAATCCTCAGCCGAGAATATGTTTTGAGATGAAGGGAGAGAAAGAGAGGAAGAACAATGATGTGAAAGAGAAAAATCAATCGATTGCCTCCCATATGCGCCCTGACCAGGTATTTGAATCCACAACTAGGAATGTGCCGACTGGAAATCAAACCCGCAACCTCTTGGTGTATAGGACGATGTTCCAACCAACTGAGCCACCCAGCCAGGGCTCCTCCAAAATCTTTTTAACAAGCCAATCCAGAATTGGCTGAAAGTAGAATTGCATACTGTTTGGGTTTCAAACCATGCTACGATGGTGTAATAAACCTTACTACAAAGAATAAAAGAAAGACAAATCTTCAGATATTCTAGTCACTTAGTTAATGTTGGATGCAAGATTACAAAAATGAAAACTAGTGGAAACAAAATGGACTCATTTACGTTTCTTTATATTACAACCAATCTCCCAAACCAAAACCAAATAAAATAAATTCATCTAAATACTAATAAATGTTTCATTGCTAAAAATTAAATGAGATGAATGTCATATCATGTTATCACCAATGACTTCACAGAAGTGAACATATGGCCCATAAACACATTTATATCTACATGAATGTATGCAATTATATATATGTTTATATATAGAAATGCACACATGTACAAACATTAATGGAAGTAAAAAAGTTTTTAAACCTGAGTCTTCAAGAGAAACCGCAATAAACCTTTAAAAATGTACAAAGGGCCAAACCGGTTTGGCTCAGTGGATAGAGTGTCGACCTACGGACTGAAAGGTCCCAGGTTTGATTCCGGTCAAGGGCATGTACCTTGGTTGCGGGCACATCCCCAGTAGGAGGTGTGCAGGAGGCGGCTGGTCGAAGTTTCTCTCTCATCGATGTTTCTAACTCTCTATCCCTCTCCCTTCCTCTCTGTAAAAAATCAATAAAATATATTTATTTAAAAAAATGTACAAAGGTTGGACGATTTGCAGGGGTCCTTTGTGGACATTTCTACAGGTTTATTCTTGTCGAGGGCATCACTGCTGCAATTTTCCAAGGGGCTACATAGCTTGGACAAAGGAGCCTATCTTCAGAAGAACTGGTATTGAACTTTTCAAGTACTTTGACCAAAGAAATTTCATAAACAATACAAAGCAAGTAATATGATATGCAAAATTATTTTCTTTTCATTGCCAAAAATGCAGATAAGATTCAACAACTATGAGACGATTTAAAACTGTATACCAGCTATTTTAAAACATACCAAAAAAAAACAGACAAAATATATTTTAAGTATTATTTTTAAAATATTCACCATAATGTGACAATCTGTATAAGTTTTGAAAATTGGCCTGTTTGAGAATGTAACTTAAAATTAATATTTCAAAATAATAAAAAGAAGAAATAAAGTGCTAATTATCTGTTTATTTCTATTACAAATTATCATTTAAAAGTTACTAAACTGGCTCTGGTTTTGCTTAAGATCAAACAAATTTTGCAACCATTTCCCCAAAGTTTCAGTCTTGCCTAACAGAAGCTGTATTTGAAAGGTGATTACATATCTCAGAGTTCCTTCCACAGTTCTTTCTTAAATCTGGAAAAAGGGGAGTTTGGGGAATATAACCCATGCATATTCACATATGTAGATCTTTCTAGGTCAAGGTCCCTTGTTTGCTCAGCTGCAAATAAACCAGGGGCTGGTTCAAAGCACAACTGTAACCCTGCCTAATATATTTTGAGGCTCTCTTTCAGCACATAAGCCAGCCTGATACTGGGTTATATAGTTGGGGTGCAAGCCCTGCTGGTACATAAGTTGTCCCTCCTCACTCTGCTGCTTACCATGTGTAAGATCACTGACCCCAGATTCCATCTGCAGTGTTTGTATTAATCCACTCCCAGATTCTTACAGCTATCAGGTAAACAGTCACGGGAACTCAACTGCAAACAGGACACTACTCAACCCCCTACACCTTGTTTATCTGTTTTCCTTTGTTATCTATCTCCACTTTAGAACTCCATGAAACAGAGGCTCTCTCTTGTTCACCACCATGTTTCTAGCACAGAGCAGACACAAAATAAACATTTGTTAATAAATGAATGGGGATAAAAATGTGAATAAGACAATACTCTTTTATCAAGTTTACAATTTAGCAAAAAACATAACATAATGAATGCCACATTATAATTTGACCTACTTTGTGTTTTTAATTCCATTCCATAATGTACAGTATATTCAGTACCTGCTAAAATGAGGTTAAATAGACTATAGGAGGCCAGCAAATCCTCATGAGCATTAAATATTTATTTCCTAAGTGAATACTATTTGCAGTTTGGCATAAATTTCAGCAAATGATGTACACAACCTCTAGTGGTGTGTTTTTATCAGTGGCAATTGAAATATTTCTGCACTAATGTTAACTCACACCTAGAATACTTAAAACTATTTAGTCCACGGTGCTATAAAACTATAAATTGACAGAAACAGTATCTCTTTATTTGCTCAACATTCAGAGTATTTTTACTAACAAATAACAGTATAACAGCAGGTAGCAGACATTCTATTAGATGTTTCTCCAAAATACTCAGGTTTTCTGTCACCTGGCAATTTACTCAACACCATGCTTCCACCTCCAAAAGATTCCCAAGCCTTTTCCCATCCCGCTTAAATGTAAAACAATTTAGTTTACCATAACTGATAAGAATAAATGAATGGATACATGCAAAATCACTACTCTTAAATGGATAAATTATAGAAATTCATGAAAAGACTTAGAAAATATTTTGGCCGCATATGTAAGATAAGAGTTAAATAATATTGTTGGCATTTAGTGGGTAGAATAAAAGATACAAATCAGATGATTCTGATAAAAAAATAAAAAAGAGCCCGGCTGGCATGGCTCAGTGGTTGAGCATCAACCTATGAACCAGGAGGTCACAGTTCGATTCCTGGTCAGGGCATATGCCAGGGTTGCAGACTTGATCCCCAGTGTGGAATGTGCAGGAGGTAGCCGATGGATGATTCTCTCTCATCACTGATGTTTCTATCTCTCTCCCTCTCCCTTCCTCTCTGAAATCAATAAAATATTTATAAATAAATGAATAAAATAAAAAATGAAGCATTATTGATGTAGAAGCTACTGACACCGTAACCAATTGATACTTAAAAAATACCAAAATTATGCCCTGACCCGGTGGCTCAGTTGGTTAGAGCATCATCCCCAATATGCCAAGGTTGTGGGTTTGATCCCCGGTCAGGGCACATACAAAAATCAATCAATGAATGCATAAATGGTCTAGACTGTTCACAAATATCTAGATTAGAGACAAATGAACCAATTGATGTTTCTCTCTCTCGATTCCTCTCTCTCTAAAATCAATAAATTTAAAAAATACAAAAATTAGAAGAGCCATAAGACTAATGACTTTGAAAGTGACATTACCATCACTCAGTCCTATCTCCTTTCCACCAAAATTAATGTCCACCAAAATAAAAATGACACTGGGATATGCTTCCCTATGTTGTCCACAGTAATAAATCACATTTTCCTGTCTGTATCTTAAATAGGCAAGAAGAACCTCCAGGAAGATGGATTCTACATTTAGAATAAATGAAGTAAAATTTCTTAACATGGTTTACAATGAGATAACTTAAAGCTCTTGAGCTCCCTCTGTAGTATGCATTGGCAAGTTCACTTCAGTTTTTCGCTAAATTCATTATTTATAAGGTAGCTATGATTTCAGTGCATATCTGGGAAGAAAATTCTAGAACCTATTCTGTCTCAATATTATGATTATCATACATAGAACACTCCCAGTTCTGCAGAATAAATGCTAATGACCCAATAAATAATAGCAGGTTGAGAGAGAACCAAGATGGTGGCATAAGTAAACGTCTATACTCGCCGCCTCCCACAATCACATCAAAATTACAACTAAAATACAGAACCACCATCATTCCAAACCACCTGAAAGCTGGCTGAATGGAAGTCCTACAACTAGAGAAGTAAAGAGGAAAGCACATTGAGACTGGTAGGAGGGGCAGAGCCTCGGAACGGGCTGGTCCCACACCCATGTGTACCATTTTTTAATTGGGAGGGAGATCGTCCCTGTGGAGGCTGGGAAGCAAGGAGTCCCAGCTCCACACCACCTTAGCCCAGGGTTCCAGAGCTGGGAGGAGAAGTCTACAGGCTGTAAAAACCAGCGGAGATTGTGGCTAAGAAACACGAAGGCTGCTGGAGACCCAGCTGTTCCTTTTAAAGGGCCAGCGCACAAACTTATTCGGACTGGATACCTGAGCTCCAGCACCGGGTGGCTCTGGGGGACCCAGACACATACGGGGAGCAACTGGATTGTCTGGCATCAGGGCAGAAACTCGGGGGTGGCTTTCTTGCAGACAGGGATGTTCGCAGGGGTCACTGTTCCTATGCTCCTCCCCCGTTGCAGGGCTGACTGGCAGCCATAGCTAAGTCTCAATCAGCCTGGAGTACACTATTTGCTCCACCTGAGGATTCCCTGAGACCCTGCCCCATCCAATTTGCAGCCCTGCCCAAGCTGTTTGCAGCAGCTTTTCCATATGAATGGCCTGTCCTGGCTCAGGCTTTGCTAAAATCAATCAAACAAGCTGCAGCTGGTAATAGCATGCCCCAAACCTATCAATAAAAGGCCCAAGACCAGGCACTAGTACCAACCTGCCTAGCTTTAAGCCGGGCCTCACCTCCTACAAAGCAGCTCTCCCACTACAGTCACAGATGGTCTTCACAACCAATTGGCCTGGAGGCCAACTCCTCCCAGAGACGCCAACAGCAATCAAGCTTCAACTACAAGACTGTGCACACAGCCCACACAGGAGCACACCTAGAGTGCCCAACTCAGGTGACTGAGGAGGCTGAGCCACTGGGCCCTACAGGACACCTATTACAGAAGGCCACTCTACCAATTCCAGGAGACATAGTAGTTCTATCTAATACATAGAAACAAACACAGGGAAGCTGCCAAAATGCGGCGACAAAGAAATGTCACAAATGAAAGAAATGGAAGCAAGCAAACTACTAGATACAGAGTTCAAAACCATGGTTATAAGGTTACTCAAGGATCTTCATGAAACTTTCAAGGATCTTAGTGAGAATGTCAAAGATATGAAAAAGGTCCAGTTAAACATACACTAACGGAAATAACAATTTACAGAGATTCAACAGTAGAGAAGATTCCAAGAATCAAATCAACAGACCTAGTTAGTGCTACCAAAGACACTAGGCCCAAATGCCCTACCTCCCAGTGTAGCTCGGGCCTACCAGCCTACCCAGGCAAAATGGGAGACAACATAGTGAGGACCACAGAAATCCATTATTTATCCACCTTAAGAGTAAAGAATTTGCTCTAATGTATATTGAGAACTACAAGCAGAACTAAATATTAATACTGCTGCTTGGGGAATCTGCTCATAGTTAACATATAAATAGTATTTCTAACATGATTGAAAAAGCTGTTAATGATGTTCTAGTGAAAGAAATTAATATCCGATCTACATAGAATCTACATAGCACAAAAATTCAATCCATCACTATTACTGAATTCTAAATTATGAGGTCTGGATTCATATGTTTTTTATCTATATCTGGTAACTTAAGGTCCTGATTTTATTGTATCTAAGCACCATTTTTCATTTTTGCTAGTTCCCTGGTGGTCTAGTACAGTGGTCGGCAAACTGGCCCCTTAAGTATGGCTCTTCCACAAAATATCACGTGCGGGCGCGCACATACAGTGCGATTGAAACTTCGTGGCCCATGCCACGGGGCCAAAGAGCCGCATGTGGCTCACGAGCTGCGGTTTGCCAACCACTGGTCTAGTGCAGTGGTCGGCAAACTCATTAGTCAACAGAACCAAATATCCACAGTACAACAATTGAAATTGCTGTTGAGAGCCAAATTTTTTAAACTTAAACTATATAGGTAGGTACATTGTTATTAATTTAATTAGGGTACTCCTAAGGCTTAGGAAGAGCAACACTCAAGGGGCCAAAAAGCCACATGTGGCTCGCGAGCCTCAGTTTGCCGACCACGGGTCTAGTGGATTCAGCACTTTCACTTGTTGTACCCAAATATGACTTTACACTTGCTCCAATAAATTTTTGTGAAACTATTTTTACAATTTATTGAGATTATTTTAAGCTTTATACTGGTCTCCCAATAATAAACTGTCCTGCACATACAATGAACATCCTATAAAAATAATTTATCAGGTGTTGAAATTGGCAATGGAAAAGCAGTTAAGACCTTAAAATAGTTATACACTTAAAATATAAAGGAATGTATTTTCAGTTTTGTTTTGCTTTGAAAGGCTAAACTATAACTGACAAGAAAAACCAGATACCTCATCAGTAAGATGCCATAAAGCATCAAATAAAATTTTTAGAAATTTGCCGCTGTATATAAATTTTAAGTTAATTATTACATACTCTAAGTTAATTGTGAGACAAATTGAAAGTTTGTTGAAAATTCCCAAATAAAAAATAAAGGTTTTGCAAAGCATTCTATTTTCTTAAAACTCACTTGGTCAAACGATCCCTATAATCAAGTATCTCAAAAAGCATTTAATTGGGGCTTATCTATAACGTAACTTTTTAATTGCTACAAAATCAGGAGGTAAAAAAACTTTTCTATACAAACAATCCAATACAACCTGGTGAAGTCTTGGGAATATAAGGAGATATGAAAGACAGGTACCTCGTAGTTTGAGAGAAAATCTAGTAATTCTGATTGAGATGGGATGTACAGAAGTGGTTTCATCACCCGGCGGACAAACTTCTCAATGTAAACAGCACTCATGGGGCCTTTGTATTCGATTGGTCCAAAACTAGTACCAAAAAAATAAAAAATAAAAACAATACACCATGCATTAAACCTGTAATGTGTAACTGAAATCATCAACATAAAATGAAAATGTCCTGCTTTAGGATCCTGACTGGTTCACAGTTAAGCAGCCTTCTTTGTCTCAGGAGGCAACTGGAGAGCCAATTAAGAAGCATTTATGTGAGGAAAGATACAGCAGCCATTACAAGTAATCTCTGAAAAACGAATTAATTCCCGCAATATTTCCTTAAAAAACAAATAGAAAGGCAACCTTGGAAACTGGCCAAAAGCTAAAGGATTCCAGGATCTGAACCACACAATTCAATGTAGAGGGGCAGGCTTTCCAGACAGAGCACAGTAAAGAATTATAAAAATGTCATGGTCATAATAATATAATATTTGATTACAGAAATTAACACAAATATATAATGTGATAAGATAAACACAATTCTTCAGTGTGCACTGCAGAATGATGCAAAGAAATATTAGCATGAAAAAGTAAAAATAGCATTCTACGTGCACAACTGGGAGACAGTTAAGAATTCTATAATTCAAGACTTATTACAACTAATTTATTAATTTTAACAATTAGTTTAAAAAATCACCATCAGCCCTACCCAGTATGGCTGTGTATAGAGCATTGGCCTGTAGACCAAAGGGTGCTGGGTTCGATTCCGGTCAAGGGCATGTAACTTGGTTGCAGCCTCCTCCCCAGCCTGGGTTCTGGTGAGGGCTCATGCAGGAGGCAACCAATTGATGTGTTTCTCTCACATTGATGTTTCTCTCTGTCTTTCCCTCTCTCTTCTGCTCTCCCTAAAATTCAATGGAAAAATATCCTCAGGTGAGGATTAACAAAAAAAATAAAAATTAAAAATAAAACAAAAATAAAAATTACCACCATCAACAACTCCAGCAATCATGAACAATTTTTAAAGGCCTGGCTGGTATAGCTCAGTGGTTGAGCATCGACCTATGAACCAGGAGATCACAGTTCGATACCCAGTCAGGGCACATGCCTGGATCATGGACTCGATCCCCAGTGCGGGGTGTGCAGGAGGCAGCCAATCAATGATTCTCTCTCATCATTGATATTTCTCTCTCTCTCTCTCCCTCTCTGAAATCAATCAAAATATATTTTTAAAAAACAAAAAATAACTTTTAAAGGAAGAAATAAAAAATCATCTGATAACTTATTTTATTCAGCAAAAAGGAGGCAACCAATCTGGAAACCTCATCTATTCAAGCAAACAGACTCTGCTGAATTTTCCTGGCATGATGTTATAGGGTTCCAGTGACTTGTAATGAGAAGATCCCAGAATGCAGGATGGGGGACATGTTTTAGCAACATGCTATAGTCATTGCTGTAGGACAAGCTGACCTAGGGCTGCTGAACTTTATATAGTGTTCTGAGAAACTACTGCCTCAGAGCCTTTATAACTAGTATTAATACAAGCCAAAAAAGTGGAATCTGCTCCCTTTGGCCGCACATATACTTTTAAAAAAAGTGGAATCTAGTTTCACAAAACAGAAGTCTATTAATTTCTTTAAGCAGCTACAACTAGGTAAGTCATACAAACACAACACACACAACAGTCTATCCAGTGATGAGACAGACTCAAGGATGACATTTGCAAGCACATGAACCAAAAAAATCTCAAGACTACCAAATACTAAGAGAGTTTAATTAAAGGAACACATTCATTCATATGTGTTTCATGTAAAATAGAGGGCTTGAAGATTCTTAAACAGAATATGAAAAGGCTACCTTTCAGATATTTCTGTGCCTTAGCACTTTCTTCTGTTTTTGAGACATTGGGAATGACTTACCAAGTGAAAATTTAACAGATAAAGATGAGGGGCAAGCACTTCAAGATGAGTACTAACCTCAAAGTCCTCATCTATATAATGAGAGGAGTGGACTAGATTTTTCTAAAGTTCGTTCCATGCCTTTTCAATCTTTCTATAAAACTAAGAAAACAAGCAGCGTAAGACAACATTGCACACTCCACATAAACCAAAATGACATTTTGTATTCTATTCAAGGGAATTCTAATTTTAATCAAGTTAAGTCCACCTCTGGGCAACTGGCTTGGTTATATATCATTGCAAGTCTTTTACTCCCTGCTAGGCATCTGTGTCCTATTTCCTATTTCCAAGAAAAGAAACGCAGGGACCTTCATGAGGCAAGCTCATTATCCATTTGACAGAGCACAGAGTTTTAGAACCTTCAAGCATAGCACCTTATACTTACCTTAAAAAAAAAAAAAGAAAAAAGAAAAAAGAGCCCTAGCTCAAGCATGTCAAACTCAAAGGCTAACACAAGCCAAATAAACAAGGCTTAAGTTTATATGGGCCACAAAAAAACAAGTTTCAATTTTCATAGAAACGTAGGTTTATTTTGATAGAGACATGCTGAATACAAAGGGCTAAAATAAATGAGTAATTGTTAACATAAAATAATAGAACATTTTAATAAAAATTAGTATTTTTCTTGAACATTAACTTACCAGACACTGAATAACTGCACAAATTAATAAGCATAATGCAAATAAACCTATTTTTCTTGTTCTTCGAAAGCAAAATATTTCCTGTTGTGCACACCAAACAAGTCGGTACAAGACTAATGACATGGCAATTGGCTGCTAAAATATTCGCTGTGAGTATTAGTGGAGAGAAATGGTGCATGATTGTAGATATCAGTCACTAGCGAACACTGTAGTTCGTTATTAATAATTATGTATAGCAGAATATTGTAAAAATTAAGTTACGACACTTTTGTTAAAACGTTTCTTACATACCATTATATTGGCTGGGCCGCAAACATATTCATTGTGGGCCGCATGCGAAACGTAAGTGTGCCCTAGCTGGTTTGGCTCAGTGGGTAGAGCATCAGCCTGTGGACTGAAGGGTCCTGGGTTTGATTCTGGTCAAGGGCACATGCCCAGGTTGCGGGCTCAATCCCCAGTGTGGAGCTTGTAGGAGGCAGCCAATCAATGATTCTCTCTCATCATTGATGTTTCTATCTTTCTCTCCCTCTCTTTTCCTCTCTGAAATCAATAAAAATATATTAAAAAAAAAAAAAAAAGAAGGAACTATGAGAAAGTTCCTCTGAGAAAGTATTCATATACAGTGGGGCCTTGACTTACGAGTTTAATTCCTTCGGAGACCGAGCTCGTTAAGGAGCTCGTTAACTCAAATTACTCTATCAACTCAATGCAAAAAATCAGCTGAGAGACAGCTGGTATCTCAAAAAACTCGTTAGTCGGGACACTCGTAAGTCAAGGCCTCACTGTATCTAGAGGAAAATTTGAAGTTGAAGATGGGGTAGGAAAGTATGTTTTTGCCCAAATACTATTTATTAGCTCCCGAGAAGTAAAATTATGTGCCACACAACATTTTATGTTAAAGTCATGGAAGTGTAATGGAGTATGACAGATAATCCACAAATGGTAATTTATTGATGTTTGTTATAAATCCCCATTGATTAAGGTCCAAGAAGTTTGGAGGGAGGGAAAAAATAAAATCTAAAAAGTAAAGCTCTTACTAATCTCATCTTTTTTACCCATTTTACCATCATTAACAAACTTTAAGACAACTACATTGAACAAAGTCCAGAATCCATCAAATGTCTTCAAAATCCTTTAAGTAAAATTTTAGACATTACTTAACACCCATAGCAATGGTCAGGCAGTACTCCAAAATCAAGCACCAATATTTTTCTGCAGCAAAATGAATAAACTGGCACCTTAAGTGAGATAAAGACTATAGGCAGCCTCTTATTATTTTAGGCCAGATGAATGTATTTGGGGACAAAATTTATAAAGTCTTTAGGTTTCCAGAGCTCTTTGGATTTCAGAATTATGGATACAAAACTATGTACTTGTAGTAATTTTCTTCCCAGTTGAAAAGATGGGAAGATACCCTCTTGATTATGCTATCCTGTCAAGTAACAGGATAAAGACTTCTATGTATTTTTATACCACAAAACACTTTTAGAATATTTGAAATGTATAGCCACACAATGGAGTAACTGGTACTATTAAAAACAATGCTTTAGAATATATGTAATGACATGAAAAGTAAGAAAAACCAGTTTAGTCCATCTGTGTGGCTCAGTGGTTGAGCGTGAACCAGAAGGTCACAGTTTGATTCCGTCAGGGCACATGCCCAGGTTCCAGGTTCAATTACCAGTAGGGGGCGTAAAGGAGGGAGCCAACCAATGATTCTCTCTCATCATTGATGTTTCTATCGCTCTCCCCCTCTCCCTTCCTCTCTGAAATCAATAAAAAATATATTGAAAAAGAAAAAGTTTAGGAAAGAATATTACTATAGGGTAATGTTTTTTTTTATTTTTAAAGGAGAGGGTGTATTTGTAATAATAAAAGGGTAATACACTATTAGACCAGACGTCATTCCAGATGAAGCCAGGGCTGGAGGGAAGGCAGCTGGGTCCTGGGTGCTGGAGGGAAGCTGGTGCTGGCAGCCGGGGGAAGGAAGACCTACTCTTGCATGAATTTTTATGCATCAGGTCTCGTGTGTGTGTGTGTGTGTGTGTGTGTGTGTGTGTACAGAATATAAATCAAAACACTTAATGATTACATATGGCTGATAAAATAATCCAGATCCTTTTTTTATTTCTGCTTACACGTGTTTTCTTAATCTATCTAATATTTTAAATGAAAAAAAATCACTTCAAAATTGATAAACTTAGTTGGAATTAGTAACATTACTTAAAATGTCTTACCTCCGATGATACAGATATATTACAGGAAAATAAAAGAAATGCTTCTGTTTTCTGCATTTCCCCTGGTTCCACCAACAGTTAATTGCCACAAACAACACCTGCAGAGTCAAAAAAGGTTTCAAATGACTATGAATAACAACTGAAAAACTACGAAGACTTAAAAGATAAACTTGTAGATATGAACTATTCCTCTCTGAAACAGAAAGTGTAAAAAAATTGTTTCAAGAGTTCAAAGAAGGTCATCACTGACTGCTACAAAAAAAAAAAAAAAAAAAAAAAAAAAGACTCTTATCTATAGTGTCTAGCTAGGACTAAATAATTTGGAGTCTGACCCAAGAGGAAAATGATTTCCTTTGAATTCTAAAGTGAATGAGCATCAGAGCTTTTCCTAAGCATGGTTAACATGAAAACTTGGTAAAAAGATATGTCTTTTGATAGTCAAACTGAGTATCTGAGAATGAAAAAATATACAAATCAAACATCACAAATTTCAAAAGACCATTTTAAATGATTACATTAAAAACTAATAAAAAAACAGATGATTAAAGCTATTTTCTAAAATATAGTACTGAATAGCAAAAATATGGATTAAGTACATATTTATAGATGGATGTACTTAAGAAGTGTCCCTATGTCTGCAATTTACTTTGAAATGTACCAAAAATAAGATGGATTAATAATTAAATTGGAGCAAAGTTTTTCAAGTTTGGCAGAATTGAAATTTTGGAATTAAACTGTTGTGAGGCTTTTTTCCCTTGTTGCTATGTGTGTTTTTGTTGTGGGGGCTGTCCTACAACAAAAGTAAACATAGGATGGTAGAGTGTTTAGCAGTATCCCTAGTCTTTTACCCACTCGATGCCACTAGCGCTCCCCTCTCAAGTACCAAAAAAACCTCTCTGTACATCGCCAAAGGTCCCCTGGCGGGGGGGCGGGGGGCGGGGGCAAACTGCCGCTAGTTGAGAACCACTGATTAGAGGGATAAGATAAGTAAATACATAATAAAATGTTAACAGTAGAATTTAAGTGGTAGGTATACAGAAAATTCCTTCACCTCTGCTATATGTTTAAAAACTTACAACACTGAAAAAATATGAAGACTATAAAAAGTCACTTTTAGATGCCTTATACTTACTAGATAGCAATATTGCTCAAACTTAGTGGAAGCTCTTTATAGCTCTTTTTGGAGTCTATGTATGAGAAAGAAAAGCAAAAATATCTTTACTTAAGGTTGACATCTCATTTTTTTACCCAAATATAAGGCAGAATTTACCATGGTCCCTCATTTTACTAAGCAATGTGGCTCAAAAGATTTTTGCCTGTTTCTGAAAATAAGCCTGTTCCTTTTCCCTACTGAGAACTTGGAAAGGAGCTACGAAAATTTGGCGGGGGAAAAAGCAGTGCCGGTCAGTTGTTTATGGCACTATGACCTCAATCATTTGTCCTGTGATGTTTAACAAACTGTTGTGCCCTCTAAGTCTGAGGTCTTGCCTCAGAAGAACAGGAACACCAGCATCAGCTTATAGAACTGTTGTGAGGAACAGCATAGGGCAGTGATGGTGAACCTTTTGAGCTCGGCGTGTCAGCATTTTGAAAAACCCTAACTTAACTCTGGTGTCGTGTCACATATAGAAATTTTTTGATATTTGTAACCATAGTAAAACAAAGATTTATATTTTTGATATTTATTTTATATATTTAAATGCCATTTAACAAAGAAAAATCAACCCAAAAAATGAGTTCACGTGTCACCTCTGACACGCATGTCATAGGTTCGCCATCACTGGCATAGGGCCAGGCACTCCCAAATACTATTCCTATGTAACCACTCTAAAGGGCATATTACTTAAGTTGACAATAAGATAATAAGTGATTGATACCCTAATATATAATATATTACAACCAATCTCCCAAACCAAAACCAAATGAAATAAATTCATCTAAATACTAATAAATGTTTCATTGCTAAAAATTAAATGAGATGAATGTCACATCATGTTATCACCAATGACTTCACAATAAGTATTCTCTACTTATTCTCTAAATTCAGAAAATTTGGGGAATGATTGGCAAAGTGGTGATTTCCTTTATGCTAATATACTACTTGCCTCGAGTGCTCCATTACACTTCCTATTTCCTCCCTGGAAGTATCTGCCAGTGTGGTTACTATTTGCCATTTGAAAGGGGGAGAGGGTGTAAAGGAAAGACAGGAATAGATCAAATCCATTGACCCACAGTTGGAACACAAAATCATACCCCACCCCAAAGAATCAGTGTTAAGGGAATGAAGAGTTATATTTAAACAGTAATTGATACTACATTCGGGGATATATAATGGTTTAAAATGCTTACTAGGCTGAGTAGGAAGCCTAGTCACCATTTAAAACATTGGTTCTAAGAAAAACCAACTGAGAGATCCAAATGAACTTCTGAAACTCAGCTGCCTGCTTAAGTAACATCAGATCAGTAGGTCCCAGCAGCAGCCTCTTAGAAGTCTGTGGATGCTTTTTAGCGACTTGCAATAACTGGGGAAAGGAGGGAGGGGGCAGTGGGGACAGGGAGGCTACAAGGCATGTGGTGGGTGGTGGGCAGGGACTGTGGTAGATACCCTGCAATGCTCAAAATTGCTCTGCAAGGGAAGATTCATCCCAGAGCAGTTTTAAATGCCCTGCCCAACACTGATGTTGAGGAAAACCCATTTGTTATTATTAGAGCCCAGAACCTAATTCCATTTTATATGTGAAACCAAAACATGGTTTTTGTATACACTGAATTTCTCAGGAAGGCAACTTCTGTGTCAACTGAGGGCAAAAAGTACTTTGTTTGGTTTAAAACTTTACCAAGAGCTGTTCATTGTTTAGAAAAATCAAATCACCGAGTGCAATGCCCCCATGGTATCTAAGTCCAACACATACCTTTATCAATCTACATTTGTAACTGTTCCATCCACAGTAACTCTACATAAAGGTACAAGGACCTATTTTGTCCAAGCATTTACAAACTGAAATACATATGATTTAATTATACATTACTTTGCTCCCTTCTACCTTTAAGTTATAAATGGTGCATTAGATGAACTATTTTGAAATTTTATGTGTAGGAAGGTTGTCTTATCTATGAATTCATTTTCAAGGCATAAAAAGGAATAAATATAAAATACTTGTTTTATAAAAAGCAATCGGGATCCACCTGGTTGAAAACCACTGTCACAGATAACTCAAATATTTGCCTATATATCACTCTTATCTATCATAAAGGTTCATTCATTTATTAAATATCTGTTAAATACAGTTCTGGTCCAAGTATGGGTATTTAAAAAGTCAGTCGGCTACACTGTAGTCATGATGCATAAATTTCTCCTAAATAAAATACCTAACTAGCAAATATCAAAGAGATAATCAACTAGGACTTTCAGTTCCCCACCTACTTCAGCATGAAAACTAAATAGCATGGCACCTGGGAATGAGCACTGGCTTAGTCACAGGATGCAGAATCTGTTCCCCATCCTGCTGCTAACCAATTAGGATCATCACAATCAGAAATCTTTTGTTTCTTTATACAAGACTTTAGAATTTTAAAAGTGCTCCTGGTATTCACCTTGGCAAAATCAGCCAGCTGGTAAGATGTCTCTATAGGGACCATCTGCTCTGCAGCAGAACTGACAGTCATTTGATTCTTAGGCCGAATGTCAGCATTACCTGGTCTGAAAGCTGACTCGCTGCTTGCTCAACTTCTGCCCTGGCAGCGATGGACTGTCCACACCATGGGGCGTAGAAGAACAGCAGCACCACCTCTGAGTGCCGGCGAACAACCTCTGCGTAGTCCAGTTGACCCTGGAAGAGGTCAAGAACCGGAGATCTCGAGGAGAAAAAGCTGACAGGTGGCTTTGCTGGTATTATCACATCTTTTGCTCGACTAAAAAAGAGCAAACACAAATAAGATCACTGAGTTTATTTTCTTCCAACAACAGCTTCATGTGGAAGGAGAATGAAACTTAAATATTCTGCGATAAGGCAATATGTGGCTGAGAAAATGAAAGGCATGAAATATATGCTGAAAATTATTCTATAATATTGTCTTCCCACAGGTGGAGTGGGAGGGCAGTGGAGAGCAGAGAATAATGTCTTTGAGTAATCCACATTCTTGCCTCCACACCCAAGATTCATCTCATCTCTCCACAGTCTTGTTCTCCACAGGAGCCACTGATGTCCAGGACTACAGAGCCACCAGGTAAGCTTGCTCAGAATTAAGGGGAGGGAGCACATGTGGCTACTGCTAATAAGATTTCTATAGGAGCCCTAGTTGGTTTGGCTCGGCTCAGTGAATAGAGGTCGGCCTGCGGACTGAAGGGTCCCGGGTTCGATTCCGGTCAAGGGCACGTACCTCGGTTGCGGGCTCGATCCCCAGCAGGGGGTGTGCAGGAGGCAGCCAATCAATGATTCTCTCTCATCATTGATGTTTCTATCTCCCTCTCCCTCTCCTTTCCTCTCTAAAATCAATAAAAATATTTTTTTTAAAAGAACATTCCTTTAAAAAAAAAAAAAGATTTCTATAGGAAATGCTTACAATCAACTCAACTTTGAGAAAACTTAAAAGTGTATTAGCTGGAGTTGGCCTGCACTTATCCAGGGCATTCAGGCAAAAGTAATAACCCAAAAGAAGGCAGAAAAGGATCAAGAAAAAGACAAAAACCAGAAGGTACAAATGAAAAACAAATAGCCAGAAGGTAGACTTAAACCCAACCATATCAACAATTACATTAAATATAAAAGGACTAAACCATCCAATTAAGAGGAAAAGATTGCCAGACTGGATAAAGAAGCTATCTAAAAGAGACACATTTTAAACATCAAGACATAAATAGGATGAAAGTTTAAGGATGGGGGAAAAACAGTCCATCTAAATAGTAAGCATAAGAAAGCTGGAGTAGCCCTAACCGGTTTGGCTCAGTGGATAGAGCTTCGGCCTGCGGACTGAAGGGTCCCAGGTTCGATTCCAGTCAAGGGCATGTACCTTGGTTGCGGGCACATCCCCAGTAGGAGGTGTGCAGGAGGCAGCTGATCAATGTTTCTCTCCCATCAATATTTCTAACTCTCTATCCCTCTCCCTTCCTCTCTGTAAAAAATCAATAAAATATTTAAAAAAAAAAAAAAAAAAAAGAAAGCTGGAGTAACTAATTAGGTGAAAGGATAAACAAACGGGGGTATACTCTTACAATTAAATGATATGTACTATATATAACTGGATGAGTCTCAAAATAATGATAATGAATGAAAGAAGTCAGACACTAAAGAATACATATAGGCTAGGCAAAAGTAGCTTTACAGTTGTGACTACATCACTTTATTCTTATATTATTATTATACTAGAGGCCTGGTGCACAAAATTCATGCACGGGGGGTAAGGGGGGTCTCTTAGCCCGGCCTGCACCCTCTCCAATCCGGGACCCCTCGGGGGATGTCTGACTGCCTCTCACAATCCGGGACCGCTAGCTCCTAACCGCTCACCTGCCTGCCTGCCTGATC